CCACCTCTCACTCTACACGTGAGACCCCAGGACCCTGCACGTCCCATCATGCTTTAAGGAGTGCAAAGCAACTTTAATTTCTCTGGGAGGCACCACGAGGGCATACAACCAGTCCACAAGGCCTCATTTGAGCCAAGGAAGTTGCAGTCTCCCGTGCTGGGCTTGCCTGAGGCTCAGCAGCAGGCAGAGTAGGGGAAGCAGCAAATGGGAAGGTGGGTGACCTGGCTTCTACCTGACTCTGCCTCCATGCACTGTGCGACTTTGGGCCTTACGGTTTTCACTGCCAAAATGGAACTATCTGGCAATCTCTGGAGATCTTGAAACCTTTCTTTAGGCAGATACCATACTACATTCTATTAGCAAACATTTGCCGTGACTCTCAACAAAAAAGAAGCCAGTTTCCTGAGTGCAAGTTATGTGCTAAGCTCATATATTACCTCACCAAATCTTCACATAAACCTAGGGAAGCATTTGTATCCTTCTTTTTTTTAAAACAAAGAAACTGAAGATCATAGAGGTAGAATGTCCTAGCAGTAAAACATGAAAGAGGATTTCAAACTCAGGCCCATCTGACTCCAGTGCCAGGGCCCATCCCTGAACAGTAATCCTCCTCTACATTAGGTTATACTGAAACAAAGGCCAGAAACAGATGGAATGTGGATCTCTATTCTCAGGGGATTAAGGCTCATTTTAAGGTTTGTTTTTGTTATGTTTTTTTTTTGGGTTTTTTTTTTTTTTTTGCTAAACAAGTGAGAAAACTGGTGCTTCCTCCAGAAAACCCAGAACTAATCATGTTAGGGTAAATGACTGACTCACAGAGTTGAATGAGGTCTTTGAAGTCATACAGTGCAACCTGTCACAGGCATCAGGTATTTGAACACCTTGTGAAGCAGGTGAAGGGGAAAGATAACCCCCAAACTGGAGGTCAGGACTTCTGGTTTCAGCCCAGTTCTGTTCCACACTTTCTATAGGCTCGTGGGTAACTCATGACCTTTCTTCAGAATTTAATCCCTATCTGCCAGAAGCGAGGACAAACCCCAGTGGATAGGACCAGGCTCTGTACTGTTTAAAGGTAGGGACTGTGTTTTATATCATCGCTGCATCTCCATCTAGTGCCTTGCATGCAGTCAGCAGTCAATAAACAAATGCTGGTTGAATGAATGCACCAACCATAAAGACAACTTTACATCATGACTTGCTTTTAGGCAAGGGTGTTACTTTTTTAAATAGAAAACTTACTTAAAATAAAATCAACCATTTAAAAATGAATAATTCTGTAACGTTTAGTACATTCAGATATTGTACAACTACTAACCATCTAACTTCTTAACATTTTCATCACCCCAAAACGGAACTCTGCACCTATCAGGCAGTTGGTTTCCTTTCCACTGATTCTGGCAACCTCTAATCTGCTTCCTGTTTTTATTAATTTACATATTTTGAATTAAAATTGTTATCAATTTTTTTAGTGCTGGGGATCAAACCTAGGACTTTGTACATACTAGCAAGGCACTGTACCCCTGAAATGCTACATCCCTAGCCCTCAATGGTTATTATTATTATTACCTAAATAGCTAGAGAATCTCTTATGTTTATGACACAGCATGACGCATTTCTCATGCATTGTCTAAGAGCCACTCTGTCTCAGGCACTATTTCCTTCTTGTGCAGAGAATCAGTTACAAAGAATGGGATATTTTCAACAATGAGCCGAAAGCAAAGGGCTTTCTCTTTAGCTGGAGGGTGCACGATCTTCCTTTTTTACCTTCTTGAGATCATGATTTGCTGTTGCTGTTCTTGCTGCTATCAAGAACAAAACTGTGACTGTCCTCTCACAACTTCTGGATCCAAGAGAAAGGGCCAGCCTTGGAGGTGGAAAGTGAGAGCTAGCAATCTAATAGGCCAAGGAGAGACATGAAGAGGAAGCTGTAAGAGAAGCAAATAGATGAGATCAGACAGGTCTCCTCAGAAGCCCAGAGAGGAATAAGTATTTCTTTTGGATCTTTCTTGGCTCCTTGCCTTATTCTTTTCTGAGCAATGAATGTCCTGAGTAAGTCAAGTTTGAATTCAGGTGGCAACAGAGGAAGACAAGAAAGATTCAAGGTATCTTGGGAGGCAAACAGTGCTGGCTACAGATTGAGGGATGGTATAGGAGACAATACCTTGGGGAGAGGAGGCAGCCCATGGAGAGGGAGGAGAGGAAAGGAGGTTAGGAGCCTCAGAGTGTCAAGACATTGCCACACCATTAAAGAGACCAGGCATGGCTATCCAAGATGGAATTGTGAGATTTCAGCTCACATCACCTTCCCAGGACCATCTGCCATCACCCCACTGTGGCAACTTGCTAAGAGCTCTTAGCATCTCTCCCTCCAGGGCACTGAATTGTCTTGAGAAATCCCTTCTCACCCCCAATGACTAAGCAACTGTTCAAAAAGGTTGTTTCATTCAGGAGAGAATAGAGAGAGGGAAAGAGAGAGAGAGAGGGAGAGAAACCAGCCATTTCCTGCATTTTCTGCCTCTGGAAGGGAAACAGCCAAAGCCTCCTCGGGATGGGGCAGAGTTTGGTCAAGGCTTCTCCATGTGTCCTGGGATATGAGCTCACTCTCAGTATGCTGGGTGGGAGTTGGACAGTTACATGGCCTCCTAATGTGGCCTATGATGTCATTCATAAAATACTGAGAGAATCTTCCTCTTATCATGCATTCTTAGTCCCTAAATAAGGCAACCAAGGGGCACAGTATGGGCCCTGTAAGGCGGAAAAGGTTGGGATTTACACACACACACACACACACACACACACACACACACACACACACGCCTGCACGCACACTTGGCTTTGCTTGTTGGGCAAATGCTCACATGCACCATCTTCTCAAAGCTCTCATTATTCTGTGAATCAGAGGGTGGAAGGAAGATAATGCAGATACTGAGCCTCTAGAAAACCACAAGACCCATGTGATTTCCTTGAGCAAGGTCTGCTGCCCTGGCACTGATAGTCACAGGCTGAGGAGAGGGAGAGGCAGATTCCTCCCATGTGAGGTCAGCTGCAGAGCACAAGGGAATCCATGTCCACATGAAAATGCTCAGATGGATCTCATGGAGGGATAGGGAACATTTTCTCTGCCCCATAAAATGGCACAGCTTTGGTCCTATGAAGGGAGGCAATGGGAGACCCTTGAGTGGGGTTCAAGGGATACAGGGAGTATGAGGAAAGGTTAGCTTTCTAGAGGCTTGTGAACCTTTGTGAGACCTACTCATCTGTCTTTCCAAACTGAGCTCCAGGAACATGGAAAAATTAGTACTATAAATAGATCAGCTTGGAAGTACAGGGGAGGTGCCTGTAAGGATAACTGAGGAATTAAGATACTTCTCAAAATTAACTCCAGAAATAAACGTTCTCTTCACATCACTCTAATATATCTTTCTAATCATGGTGTAAAGAGGAGACCTTAAATAAATGACATCCATAAAATAAACTGTCAACCAAGCATTAAAAAGAAAGACAAGTTACAATTCAGTTTATTTTTACATATAAATACACATTAACACTAAAATGTTAGGAGTTATCTTTAGGCAATGAGATTCACTGTTCATTCTCCTTCAACTAATACAGATAGAACATTTCATGTGTGTAGTAGATTTTGACAGGTTTCAGGGGCATAGAAGAAAACATACCAGGTACACTACTGCCCTTAGGTAGGTCATTTTCCAATGGGAGAGACAGACAGTAAACAAGAAAACAAATACACATAAAATAATTCTAGAGTTTTATTAGTGCAGTGAAGCAATCCAGAAGATAACCCTTTAACTAAGACAGTCTGAGAAGGTGTTTAAAAAGACCCTGACATTTAGTTTAAAAGCCCATCAGAGCGAGGGTCTTGGGGAGGACCATACTGGCAGAAGGCAAGCAGGTTCTCAATCCAAGGGTGGAAGTGGGGATTTGTTCTAGGAACTTAAGACTCTCAGTGAGGTAGGAGAACACCTATCAAGGAAAGATTGGCATACATTGGGGTCCTTCAAAAGGGAGGAGTCAAGTATCCTAGGGCCTTTTAGACCCTGCCAGTGAACTTGGACTTTATTCTTTAGCATTGTGGAGGAACATGCTCAAATCCATACTCAGAAAGATTTCTTAAGCTATTTTTTAAAAAAATCGTTTTGCAAAGGCAAAGAATAATTTGTTTCTGATAAGTATAGTTCTTTCTATGCATGTTCAAAAATAATTATAGAAAGTGTTTTACTATATAAAGAAATACTCACCTTTATATATTGTCTGTATTCAATTCTGTTTGTCTATAGTGGTACAGGCTCTGGAGTTTTTATGAGCATGTCTTCTTTGGGAACTCTTGTTAACACAGCCTTGGGGGTCTGTGCAGCCCCTGGCATGCAGCAGGAGATGAGGCGGAAGCCTTCTACTGGCTTCTAGATGGTCTGAGCCAGACCCTCCTCAGGAGGTACTTTATTTCTCCCAAAGCATAGATGTGTTAGGAGAGAGGATAGGCTCCTGGCCTAATCCCATCTCTTTGGGAGAAATGATTATCCTCATCTTCAAAAATACCTAATTTCTTGTTTCATAACCATGAAAAGGCAAAAGATTTATATGATCTGAAGAGAAGCCAGAGTATTGTTGTTTAATAATCTTTAAAGTCAAACTTTCAGTCTAGAAAACAGAATAAACCCATTTTACATGTAGGTACAGTGAGATTCAGAGAATTTGGCTAAAGTCACAAAACAGTAGGCTGTCTTCCTTACCTCCCTTATGCCCCAGTCGGAGGGCATCACAGGAGTAGCTGAGCCCTCAGAATCCTCTGGCCAGACAGGAGCTGGGAAAAAAGGCCCCTGAGGGCCTCTATGCTTAGGATGTCCATGATGAGTCAGAAAGGGGCTGACCAACTTGAGTGGTGGAACCAGTTCCTTGCTTCCAGCCTGGGCAGGAGGCTAGGTGGGAGGAATAGTATAAAGGTGCACTGGTGTCTGCTTAGCTCACACTCCACCAGAAGCTTCTGCCTCTGCATCTATTGTGAGTTTGGTGAGTACCAGCTGGCAGAACCAGGGTTGGGACAGGAAGTGTCCCGCAGCCCAGACTGTGCCCTGGGGTGGCCAGTTTAGGTGGGTGTGGGTATTGCTCTTAGGCTGGATTTAGTTGGATTACCTTTCCTTCTAGGGATACATGGAAAGCCAGGATGACAGCAGTCTTCTCATGTATCTTCTTTTCTTGGGGCCATATCTTGGGATTTATGTGTGCAGAAGAGAAGTTAGGCAGAGGGGAAAGGGAGTAGAAACTAAGCTGTCTCTTAAAACTCTTTGAATTGGACAATGATTTTATTTTTTAATGGTAGAAGTGGGTTCTAGAAAATGCCTATAATTTTTGGCTGTGCTGTGTGAAAGGGGGATTTCAGAATGGGAAGGACTGTTATGCGAACAAGCTTAAGCAGAGCAGGGGCAAGAGCACCCGACTCAGCAGTACAGGTCTTATCTCAACAAGTTCCAACTCTCAGCAGTGTGCCAACTCCCTTTGCTTTCTATCCTAAGCTCTGGGGCTACAGCTGAAGTTCAGAGGGTGAGGAAAGAAGGGAGCTCTGGTGTTGACGGGCCAACCAGCTAACTTTACAGAGAAGAAACCTGAGGCCTAGAAGGACTAAAGGACTTGTCCAGAATGACACAAAATTTCAGTGAAAGACTTACATCTAGAAAATGTCAAGTGACTCCTGTCCAAACCTGATACGATGCCCTTTTAGTTCCCTTGTAGCACAGGCAATTGGTTTTCAAGGACTCAGAGTATTTGGTCTTACTTATTCCTGTGATACAATCCTAGAACTCTTCTCTCCTTAGTGATTGGAGATCAAGAGTAAGGGCACAGACAAGAACTAGACAAAAGCAGAAAGTTAAACAGCATCAGGCCACCCTTGCAGAACAGCCATGGGGAGAGATTTCTTGTTGGCTCTTGCCTGGCGACAAGGGGGCTCCCAGGAGGGCCTTTCCCTGACCTCCCCATTTCCACTGCACTCTCTGCTGCTGCTGCTGAGAAGCCAGGTACTACTGTAGATTTTAAGGGGTTCATTTACTTCATTTGTCTTCAGCCTCTGACCCTCCTGCTGTTCATGCTGACCCACAGCAGGTACTAAGATGTCCCAGCAACGCACACTGCCAGTGACTGCACCTGCTTCTGTCAGTCAGGAGTCCCTCAAGACTGTTTCTGCTCCACCCGGTATCCATCAGGAGCAAATAAAGCAGCCAACTGCACGGCCTGACCCATGCCAGAAAGTGCCTCCCAAGCTCCCAATGGAAAATCCTCCAAAACATGAGAAAAACACAGCCATTGCAAAGGGGCTGTCTGAGCGAGAGTGTGGGCCTAAGCAACAGGAGCCAGAGCTGCACCTGGGACCGCTGCAGTCACAAGAGTTCCAGGAATCAGAGCTGCACTTGGGTGAGCGGCAAGGGCCAGAGGAGCTGCATTTGAGACAGCAGCATGAACAGAAACCCCAGGAGCCAGAGCTGCGTCTGGGACAGAAGGAGCAACAAGAGCCGCAGGAGCCAGAGCTGTGTCTGGGACAGAAAAAGGAACAGGAGCCACAAGAGCCAGAACTGCATCTGGGGCGGCAACAACAGAAGCCACAGGAGCCTGAACTGCACCTGGGACAGCAGCAGAAGCCACAGGAGCCAGAGCTGCATTTGGAACAGAAGAGGGAACAGAAGCCACAGGAGCCAGAGCTGTGTCTGGTGCAGAAAACAGAACAGGAGCCACAGGAGCCAGAGCTGCATTTGGGACAGAAGAGAGAACAGAAGCCACAGGAACCAAAGCTGCATCCGGGACAGAAAAATGAACAGGATTCACAGGAGCCAGAGCTGCATCTGGGACAAAAGGACAGACAGGAGTTGCAGGAGCCAGAGCTGCACCTGGAACAGAAGCAGCAACAAAAGACTCAGGATCCAGAGCTGCGCCTGGGACAGCAGCAGAAGCCGCAGCAGCCAGAGGACCAGGAACTGCACTTGATACAGCAGCAGCGGCAGGAGCTTCAGAAACAAGAGCAGCATCTGAGAAAGCAGCAAGATCCACCGAATCCACCAGAGCCTGAGCTGCAACTGGGACAGAAGCAGAAGCCACAGGAGCCAGATGAGCACCTGGGACAACAGGAGAAACCACAGGAGCCAGAGCTGCACCTGGGACAACAGGAGAAGCCACAGGAACCAGAGTTGCAGCAGGGACAAAAAGAGAAGCTACAAGAACCAGAGCTGTACCCTACACAACGGGAGAAGCCCCAGGAGCCCCAGGAGCAGGAAGTACACCTGGGACAACAGCACAAACAGAATCCACAGGAACAAGAGCCACATGAGGAACCACAGCAGAAGCAGCAGGGAGAGCATGAAGAATATCAGGAAGCAGAAAACCTGGAGCAGCAGCTCAACCAAGAGAAAGTACAAAGGCAAGAGCAACTTAAAGAGCAGCAACTGGATCAAGAGCTAGTAAAGAGAGATGAGCAAGTAAGAAAGAACAAGCAGCTTTTGGAGCACCTGGAGCAGCAGGAGAAACATCTGGAGCAAGCTCCTCCTGCCTCAACCCTGGGGCAGGTCCAAAAGACTGAGCCAGTGAAGGAGGGAAGTCTTGCTCCCCGTGAGAAACAGTAGTCGAAGCAGGAGATGCAGTAACTACCCAAAATTAACCCCAGGATCCCTCAGACCATCCCACACAAGGAAAAAGAGAGTTGCTGGCCCAACTTTCCCCCGGATGTCCCTTTCCTCGGTGAATCCACTTGACCCTATTCCTCTGCACGTCTCTTTGATAGTGCTGGGAAAGAGGATGTTATGATCCAACACTTAACCTAAAGGAGCCCAATCCCAACCCTAGGTGATCAGAGCCTCTGCCTGAGACTATTAGCAACTATAGCAACTCTGACTTCACCCTAGTATTGTGGCTGAATCTGTGAATGTGTACAATAATATATAATAAACACTGGAAATCCCAGGATCCTGTAATTTGGCTTTTTCTCCTCTGTCTCTCAGGTTAATGGCTACAGCTGACTCTCTTGGTTAATTCCTCAAAGAGGACAAGCATCTTGATCTTTATTTTTACTTCTCAAATTAGTGAACATGTGCAACAGCTTCTGAAAAAGAGACAAAATCTAAACAGAAACCAAAAGCAAATTCACATAGGCGCCTGAAAGTAACACTTGCCAGCCATGAAGACAGGAAAGGTTATTCTGGTCAGGGATACAGCCGTCTCAGCCTGACACTGTCTTGTACAACCCATAGAGATCCCAATCCCAGTCCACAGCAGAACTCAGTCCCACATTTCCCACCATAATTCAACTCCACACATAGGAGAGGGGCCTGGGAGGATGTGAGGGAGTTTTGGGGGCTTTAAAATCATTCCCACAGTCTCCATCCAGGGGCTTTTCTATAAATTTTTCCATGAGTTTCAAGAGTCTTATGGACTGCCTACTCAGCTGAAGAAGACCTTAGAAATCCAACAGAAGCAGAATTGGGCAAAGTGAGGAGAGGAGACACTCCAGGACTGCTCTGTGATGGAAAGTGACAACATCATGAAGGAAAGTAAACACTGGGTGAACAGGGACTATGGAAACCAAAAACAGGCTTCCTATTTCCGAGTAGGTTGCAGAAATGGAGATCGATAGATTGGGAGTGATTGCAGCTGTTCCCCTCCTCCTGTATGCTGACTGCTTGATATTTCCATAGCTTCTGCTGCCATGTCACATCCAGATTTGGAGCTCTGTCTTTCCTGGGACAAGTACTGTTTTTAACTCTTAAAATTGCTTGCCTGTAAACCATCTAGCAATCTAACCATATCATCTTGGGTAGCTTTCCTCAATTTTCTCAAAGCTATTCTACTACAGACAGGAAGGTATATCACAGACACACCTATTCAAGTGTCCATAGAGGCTCAAATTTAATCGATTTGAATGGCACTTAGAGTTCCTTGCTACCCACCCAAGCCCACTCAACACTCACCACATTTTTCTCTTCTGAGTAATGATACTGGGATCAATTCCATGCTTCCCTTATCAATATCTCCTAAGCTCAGCCTGAGGTTATTTCTCCACTGAACTATTGCAATAGGCTTCAAGCTGGTCTCTCTTGCTTACCATCTCTACACACCCTGTGGTCCACCCATCACAAGTTGTTCTTAAAATTCCTATTGAGCCACATCACTCATGGAATTAGCCTTTGTGAATGGTTCTCATTACTTAACCATGAGAAAGTAGGTGGATGCCCTAACAGTAAGCTTGGGTAGTACTGGGTCAGGAAGATAGAGGTCAGGGGAAGAAAAATCAGAAGCACCCAGACTATCTCCAAACTTTCTTTGAAGACTTAGGTAGTTGCAGTTGTTTTAATGGACTCTACGTTTTAGAATAGTTTTGGATTTCTAGAAAACTTGAGAAGAGAGCACAGAGAATTCCCATTCACCACATGCCCCATTTCCCCTATTGTTATCATCAAACATTAGCATGGTACCTTTGTTATAATTAACAAAACAATGTTGACACATTGTTAACTAAAGTTAATGGTTTGTTCAGAAGTCTTTATTTTTTAGCTAATGTTGTTATGCTATTTCAGTATCTCACCCAGGATGTCACATTATGCTCAGTTGTCATTTATCCTAACAGTTTTTTGGAGTTTTGTTGTTTTTGATGACCCAGACATTTTTGAGGGGTGTCAGTTTGATTTTTTTGTTTTTGTTTTTGTTTTTGTTTTTCCGGCACTGGAAGTCAAACTCACGACCTCGCCCTTGCCAGGCAGGCACTGTGCCACTGAGCTAAATCCCCAGCCCCAAGAGGTATCAGTTTGAAATTTTGCAGATTTTTCCCTCAACTTGTTTTTTCTAATTTTTTTCTCATAATCAGGCTAGGGTATTGGTTTTTAGGAAAAAGACTGCAGGGTAAAGTGTCATTTTCATTATGTCTTATAAAATATATGCAGCACAATCAGTCATGAATCACCACAGTTGATAATAACACACACTGAGGTAGTGTGTGTCAGGTTTCTCCATGGTAATGTTTCTTTTCTTAATACCATCTCCCCTTTTACGCTGTGTCAGAAAGAAAGTCACTATCCAACGGTCACAAACAAAAAAAGAGAGACATGCTCCCCATCACTGACATTGCGGTATGAATATAAATTTGGAACTTCCCCCATTTTTCTTATTAGTATTAGTGTTTTTTCATTACTGGTGATGCAACTCAGGACTTTCACCTTAAGCTATAGTAATCCCCATCCCCTTTTACATTTTGTATTTAATTTGGAGATAGGGTCTTGCTAAATTGCTATGTTTCCCATGCTGGACTTGAACTTGTTATTTTCCTGCCTTGGCATCACAAAGTGTTGGGATTATAGGTCTATGTGCCATAATCTCCACATCTACCTATTTATTTGTTTACCTATCTAATCATTTTTTATTTTATTTTATTTTTTCTAATCATTTTTTAAATCAGTGCAAACTCATGGATATTTATTTTGTACTTAGGGCTATAACTCAATACTTATTTTTGTTTCTTAAATTATTCCAGTGTTGGCCATTGAGAGCTCGTTCTGTTAGTTTCCATGTGTTTTGGCATGTCTCCACCAGTATTTATTTTAAATTTTATTTTAAATTTTGTGTTTTCTGTGCTTTTTTGTTTTGTTTTTGTTTTGATCCTTTACTTAATTTCTGGTACTACAAGATGCTCCAAGATGATCCTGTAAATTTCCTGCCCAGTCCTGGAACCAAAAAATTCTTTAAGTATCCCTAATTCATTACATTGGAGAATATTAGAAACCAAGAGCTAGGACTAGGTGTGTTCATTCCTATTGAGGTATCATTTCTTTTAGACCCTCTCAACTGGCAGAGAAAATATTTGTGTGTGTGTTAACCTGTGTATTGTGTGTGTGTGTAGCCATTTGTATTTACAGTAGCTAAACACTGAGTTTATACAAATGTCTCTAACTGCAATCCATTAAAACACAGATTATTCAAACTGAAGTTCTTCCATGTTATCCTGCAGAAATTTTAGTTTTGAGTTTTACAATAAGTTGTATAACATATTTTGTATTAATTTTTGTAAATTCTGGACTTCAATTCATTTTTTAAAATATGGATATCCAATTGTTCCACTACTATAGGAAAGACTGTCCTTTCTCCACTGAAAGTACCTTTGTTCCTTTGTCAAAGAACAATTGTTATTCATTCCAAAATTTCTAATGTTGATTTCTGGAATTTTCTGCAGAGACAATCATGTCATCTGCAAAAAGTTTTATTTCATTTGTTTTTTCACAGTCTGTATAGATTTTATTTCCATTTTATATATGCATTGTTCCTAATTTTAGGGAAAAGTGACTAATTTGTCTCCATTATAATATTGGTTGTAGGGTTATTGTAGATCTTCTTAATCTACATAAGTAAACATTCCTCTATTCCTAGTTTGATGAACATTTTTACCATTGATGGGTGTTGGATTTTTGTCAAGAATTGTTCAGTATCATTTGGTAAGATCATATACTATTTCCTCTTCAACAGCTGATACAATGAATTACATTTTCAGATGTTGAACTAGCTTTGAATCTGGGCTAAATCTTACTTGACTGTCATGTAAAATCCTTTTTATATATTGTTGAATTTGATTTTCTAATATTTGTTGAGAATTTTCACATTTATGTTCATGAGAAATAGCTTTCCTTATAGTTGTGTTAGCCTCATGAATTGAATTAGGGAGTCTTCCTTCTGTTTCTATTTTCTGGCAGAGACAGTAGAAAATCAGAACCATTTCTGATTCTTCTAGATAGCATATAGTTGGGTATTAGCTTTTATTCATGGCTATAGTACCCAGCATTTAATTGGTGTATCTAGGCAGTGGTGGCAAACCTATGGCACACTTGTTATTTGTTTTTCTTTGAAGATAAAAAATGTTAATGCATGATTTGGGTTTTTCCACACTAAAACCATGGTATTCAGGTTTAATTGCAGTGTTGGCACTTTGCAATAAGTAAGATTGCAGTTTGGGCACTTGTCTCTAAAAGGTTTGCCATCGCTGATCTGGGCCTTTCACTTTTAAAGATATTATTTTATATAACTGGATTATTATCTACCATGCTGGATTTCTAGTTATTGTACTTTTTTCTTCCTTTTCAGGTTTCAGTGGAGATTTTAGTTCTCTGCCTGCATGTCAATTATACATACTTTAAAAATCAGTTGTTTCCTGCAATTTAAAGTATGTATTTATAACTCATGTAAACACAATGCTTAACATTATACTGCTTCACAAATTATACTGCTTCACATGTAGTACAGATAGGCTGTAACAGCATTTTCAGTTGTTCTTTGCATCACTCAGAACATGTCATATGTTATATACCTCCAATACATTATTACTATGAGTATTTTAAACAGTTATTTCTCAGATAAGTTAAGAATAAGAAAAATAAACATGTTATTTCATCTCCATTTAGCCCTTTTATGATGCTATTTCTTCTTCATGTAAGCCCAAGCTTTCTGAGGACATGTTTTAAATTTATAGAATGAACATTCTTAGTACCTACTAGTTATCCTATATCATTTACTTCCTTTTTTCAACATTTCTTTTTCTTTTAGTTTATTTTAAATAATATTTCTTGAAGCATACTGGAAACAAATTACCAGAATTTTGTTTGTCTGAGAAAAATATTCGTTTTACCTTTGATTATTCAGAACACTATCAGGCAATATAAAGTTCTAACGTTTTAACTTTTAATGTTTTATGCACTTTTAACACTTTATGCACCATGTTCTTGCTTGCCTGGTTTATGATGAGAAGTTTGATGTACTTCTTATTCTTATTTCTGTGTAAGTAAGCTTTTCTTTAAAAAATTCTGAGACATTTTTAAGGATGCTCTCTTTGTATTTAGATTTCGCAGTTTTCACAGAATAATCCTACATGTAGATTTTTTTTATTCATCCTTCTTGGTATTCTCTGAGCATCCTGACTGTGTTGCTTAATGTCTGTTGT